CCCCAAAACCCCAAAACCCCAATTCAAATAATTCAAAAAAATAAGAGTGAGAATATAAATTTAAAATCTATCTAAATCTTTAATTCATTAAATATCTAATTTAAACATCAATCATTAATCAATTTAGTATATAATCACTTTTAAGCATTATCTATTTTAAGCAGTTTCTATATCAACTAATAATTCTGATATCTCCTTATTTCAATTTATCCTCCATTCTTTGGAATAACCATCACAATACCATGCAATTAATTATTCATCCATTATCCAAGTAAAATATCTCCACTCTTGAATGTGTATACTCCTACACCTTATCTATTACCATTCACCCATTATCCATAGTATTAATTACCATTATGCCATGTAAGCAATCCTATTCCTTCTTTTTTATCATTTAAAAATTATCCTTCATAAATCTTTCCATTGATATAATAGTATTTCCCATATCCATTTAGTTTGCCGTTTTTCCACTCACTTATGTAATAATTTCCATTATAGAGTATAAATCTTCCAAATCCATCTTTTAAATCATTCTTCCAGAATCCATCATAAACTGTTCCATTTTACAAAATAAATCTGCCTTTTCCATCTTTTTGTTTTTTTACTGTATCATATTCACCTTGATACGTACCATTATCATATTTAATAAGAGGCTTGAAGATTCTATTAGGATTAGGATGAATCTTATCAAGAGAACTATAATTGAATACTCCTAGCTTTGAAATAATTTCATTTACAAGAGCATTGGTTGATATTATCGTTAAATCAAAAGCACCTTTGTCATTATCAAAACTAGTAATTAATTGATAGTCAGGTTACATTCTTGTCTAGGGGTTCTTAGGTTAGTTTACAAAGATAAAAAAGCACCTACAATGAATCTATTCTCAAAACTGGATCGAATTGGAGCATTTTATTTAAAAGTTGCTCGAATACTTAGAACTATCCTTCAAGATTAATATACTTTGTCTGATCTTATTGTTTTATCTCAGAAATTGATTTTCCTTTGTATTTATATTACTTTGTGCATAAATAATAGAGTGTCATTCCGAGTGACCAGATGTCAACTTAACTGTTGTAGCTGAAATCCTCAATATTACTTATTTCTGGGGCTTTGAATAATGGTTTTCCCACATACGAATTCGAATTTGATACCAACTGAGCCATTCCAAAGTCGCAAATTTTAAACTTCTTGCCATTTTCAAAAACTAAGTTGTTATCAGGACTTAGA